TAACAAAAGTAAAACATATTTAAATATATTTTAACATATTTAAAACATCTGTGAAATAGCAGCGATATCAAATGTGGAGACGAAGGCGCTGATGTTAGACAATCATCAGACTGATACCGATACATCGTGCATCCCCAGTAGAAATGTATATTATCAAAGCAGCTTCAGGGCAGCGTTTGCGTACACATCATACTTTCTGTTCAAGTGAACACACAGTACAGCCATGTGGTTTCTTACTTCCAGCAGGAGGCTGCTTTCATTGACGCCGTTGCCCAGTGGAATGCTCTCTTTCCTGGGTTCAGGGTTAGAGGATGGTGTGCTGATGTTGTGCTTCCTGGAGATCTTCTCTTGACTCGCTATGAAAAAAAACAGAAATAAAAATGGGTAAACAGGCTGCCACAAGGGACACATTTAAAAAAAAAAAAAAAACTAACATCCACTGGTGAGTGTGTAAAAGATGATAGAAACAGGAGGAAAGTTATGCATCCTGAATTCAGCCCTTAAATTGACCTCATACAAGCTGGGACATGTGCTCCTATCTGCTGCATCCAAGGTCTGGAAATCAAGCACGCCCGACACAAGTCAGATTCTTAACTTCAATAAATTTGCTCAGAACACGGAGCATATATTAGGAATCCTGTCGACACAGGAAAAGTAGAGAATGATAACAGTAATGAGTCTGTTTTCCAAAGTACGCTTGGACGGACTCCCACAGCCTCTGATCTGGTAGTGAGAGAGCTGGACCAGCGCTCAGACATGTGGCGGACACATTAAATGTATCAGTCTCCTTTTTTTTTCTTTGCACTGCACTAATGCCAGGTATTAGTCTGCGAGGTGGGCAAGTCTAACAAGACAAAACAGTGGAGGATTTCAGGACTTTACAGGATTCCTCACACACGATACAGCCACATGCAAAACTCGGTGAAAGTGAGGCGTCAACTGGGGCATCTGGGAGGCCTGATTCAAGTAGGTAACTAAATATAATCAAAATATTTAGTAAAAATAACCTTCAAGTTTACTGATTAGTAAATATGTCGCTTATAAATGGTAAAAGATCAGTAATAATAAATGTAATGGTGAAAATCATCTTGTTAAAGCATCAACTCAAAGCAAAAAGTAAAAATCAGCTCATTTATTAAAACTGACACAAAAGAGCCAGACGATGTTTTTCATTCATGAAACTCTGCAAAGACGAGCGTCGCCCTTGCAGAAGTGAAAGCTTTCCAGTTCCAGTGATGCCGTTGTCTCGCTGAGCCTGACCCCTGGCCTCTTTGTGAAGCGGAGACAATGGATCACACAGCGGCGTCCTGCTATATTTTACCCCTACAGACAATATAACAAGTGGATAATGTAAAGAGCGTGTTTCACTCTGGCGGCTGTAATCTCTGCACACGCTGCGATGTAGCTCTAATGTAGCCCTGCCTCTTAATCGCTCCCTTGCTCTTTTGTGCTATCGGCTTTCTTTTTTTCTTTTTTTTTTTTTTTGAGTATAGTACAAATATCACAACTAAGTCACACTCCATCAACCACTACACACACACACCACCATGTTCTTTCCACCTCAGAGTAAGGCCTACTTACTACCACGCCACACTGTGTGTACATGCAATTAGCCTATACGAGTGTGGCGTGCTGAATTGTCACATGTGCCCCGGTGACGTATGCGTTGCGTGTTGGAGGCATGTTTGCGTGTTTCTCTTATGGGTGTGCTGTCAGGGGGCATGTGGCTCACTCCAAGAGATCAGCCCTTCACTCCGTCACTTATTGTAGCAGGCACAGATTAGTCACGCAACGCACGCACACACATCATAGCTTCATTATGAAAAACTATCTAAGTATGCATGTATATATCTTCGTATAGTCCCCACCCCCAGCGGATAACCCCATTACGGCTTCCTCCCCCCTTTAACCTTCCCCTATCTCCCATCCTCCCTTCCATCCCTCCCCCATCCACGCTCCTTCAGCCCTCCTCCCTCGTCTCTCCACCCTTTTTTCTTTGTTCGGCTCGGCATCGCAGGCGATCGACGACCGATTTCGTGATGCTAGGAGAGTTCCCCTCCTCTTAAATCCACGCCGAAGCACGCAAAGCTAATGCGCCTATTCTTTTCCCCCCCTCTCGTCCATACATTTTGTGCGGATTAGTGTTTTTCACGTACACTCATTTAGTTGGTTTATTCAAGCTAAAGGTGGAAATAAAGGCCGCAATGTTGCTGAAACTCTGGCCGCTGAGAGCACTGACAGGCGGCTTCATGAACTCATAAAAGCCGGTAATAATGTTAAGTATTTTGTCATCACCTCCGCTAGGTGCTAACACACACAAACAAACAGAGTCAGACAGCCACACACACACACACACAACCATTCTGTTCAATCACCGCAATATCGTCCAACCAGTGGAAACCATTGCAGAGGGAAATGAATCTAATAACCGTCTTTATTTTCCTCCTTCAACGCCTCATGTATTTTTGTTTTCTCTCTTACGGCAGCTTTTGGAGAGGATGCGGCGTCAGGAAAGACAAACACGCGGGATGATTAATTATCGGCACCGGCACTTCCTCTGCCAACAATACCGGCTTTATTCATCGCCACTCATGTCTTCGGCTTTGCTTTTCTTTGCCTCTATTTTCTCCCTCTCTGCTCGAAAAAGGAAAACAGAGTAGGTAATGGTGAGGCGTTTATGTGCTCTGTGTGAGGACAGGGTGTTAAGTAAAAAGTGACAAGTAGCGGGATGTAGATGCTGCCAAAGGGTGAGGCTGAAAGTGTCTAGCTCCTCTAGCTGGCCAGGTCCGGCTTTCCATTTCCACTGAGTATACAAAATACTAAGACCACCCGCCAAATATTAAGCTCCAGAATGATTAGATTTTCGTAATCTAAGTCGTTTCAATTGTCTCAGGACTTCAACTGGCTCAGAGCGACATGGGATAAGTGACCATGGAGCTTATAATGACATTAGATGAGTTTGACTTGTTGAATTGAAACAATGATAGAAAAGATTGCTGTGAGCCAAAAGAACCATTTCTGGTGCTTCTGTTAGGATAAAAAAAAAAAACAATTAAATGATCTCTCTTTCACCCAACTGCTGCTTGTTGCCATGAGCACAGCCCTTATCATGGTAGTATTTACATCTGCGGCCTCTAGGGGGGGGAGGTGACTTTAGCTTTGTAGCAGACGGATGTGCACAGAACAGTCTGGGTGTGTTTGCCTGTTTTTAACACCCTTTCCTCTAAAGCCACTTCCTCTTGTAATACCAAGAACAACTGAAACAGAGAAAAAATAGAGAGAAAAATAAAGAGAAAGCTAAAAAGAGACAAAAAGAAGAAAAAGAAAGCCTCTGTAAGGAGAGAGAAGGTAGAACTGTCTCTGAGGGCCCATCATGTCACTGACATGCTTTTATTCTGGCAAAAAAAAGAAATGTCTCACAAAATGATGAAAAAAGCAGAGATGAATATTTCAATGCAATCTTGTACATTGGAGTAGATTCAGAGATGGCATGACATTATGTTGAAGAGTCCTGCAGAGGAGTGCTGCACGACTTTAAGTGATTTATAAATCGTGAGCACAAGGGTAGCATGCGTTTTGAATGGAATGCTAGATAATACTCCGGGTCTGTTCTTTAGATCATGTTCCTATCCAGAGCAATGTGCAGTGAGGAGCAAGTGAGTGTTCATACATGATACATGCTCACACACAACACCAGCTGCTGCACGGCTTTAACCTGGGACCCACCAGCCCGCATGAGTCAAACAGGTGCCGTAGCGTTTCTGGGCTTTTCATTGCTTTAAACGCTGCCAGTTTATAGTAATCTGAAGCAGAAATGAACTCAATATGTTTGGCGATAGTAGTAAGTAGTGGTTGACAGTAATAGTTGTTATTTAACACATTAATGAGCGGTTACATATGTCAAGCTTAAAAAATAAGATGCACTGTTGAAGCGAGCAGTAAATAGAATTATTAAACCCTCTTCAGCCCAAAACACGATGTTTTAAAGGTATGTTAACTTTGAAAAATATTTATCAGAACCACAAACTGTAGAAAAAAACACGTCATAATTTGAAGAGTAAATTTGCAAAAACAGATAACTCCATCCTCACAAACCTTCAGAAAACCCACTTTTCCGTCATCTACCTGAGACAACATCAGTCAAACTTCAGTTATCTCGATTTTTGTCATTTCCACTGAGTCAGATCCACTCAGCTTCAGTGTGACTGATACTATCTCATGCAAACAACAAAAAAATAAGTTTTCTGAAAATCGGCAAAAATGGAGTTATCGGTTTTTGCAAATGAACTCTTCATTTCATCATGTGTGATGTGCAGGTTAAGCTTAAAGTTGTGATAGTTCATCATAGTGACTTTATATCACATGATACATTTAAAAATGCCCTAAAATAAGCATTTGGAGTAATCAGAATTTGTAAAAAACAAACAAAATCAATGTATTTCTTGGTTGAAGTTAGCAACCATTAGTAGCTCAGCTGCAACCGAAAAACACAGGTACTATTTGGTTCATAGGTGGGCTGAACTGCAGGCTGTGTTTACAAAAAATAGATGGAAGGCAAATGCGGAAACAAATTAAAAATATAAGTAGAAAATCTATGTATATTTATAGATACATATCTATACTTTGCAGAGCCACCTTTTTTTTTTGTGGCAACACCTGTGGGCACTTGGAGATTTTAAATATTACTTGTTTTTTCTGATTTATGGCATTTTCCTGCACAACAGAGATCTTTGAGGTACTTTCTGCTTCTAGCCATGGCAGGACTTTATACTGTGGTGAAAAATGAGTCCACGGTGAGTAAAAATGCAGCAAACAACTCTCAGAAACAGCTTCAGCTTTCAAGGTTTAATGCATTAGTAATAGTAATACTTTAATTTTGCAATAAAAGTGCTTTGACAGTCTTCAGATACAGCTCCTTACTGTTAAATATTTTGCACATTGCAGTATTCTGAGCGAACATCCTGCGCTGAGGCTTCGTGTCTCCCTGATTCGAGCAGCATGGGTGCCATCTTTTGGCAGCTGATCCTCAGCTGTGAGTTTGGCTTGTAAAAGAAGAGCTCCAGACCCGAACATGCGAGCGCTGAGCAGCACAGCAATCCCTCCCCTCCCACAAGGCTTGCGTGAGTAGAGAAAACTGTGTGTGTGTGTGTGTTGGTGTGTGTGTTCATGTGTGTGTGTTTGTTGAGGTTGGGTTGGCTTTCTGCCACCTCCTTTGCCTATTCCCGCCCCCTTCCCTCAGCACTCGTCTTCTGTGTCTCTCTGTCTCTCTCTCTCTCTCTCTCTCTGCAGGCACAGGAAATCCACAGCGGAGAGAGCAATACCAACACAGAGCGAGAGAGAGAGAGAAGCTGGCTGA